GATGAACCTGGGCCTGTTAGAAACGGCAGGCACAGAGAAAACAGACAAAGGCACAAGATGCATGAGTGGGACTCCATATGCTCTGAACAGAAATTGCATGTTAGCCAGCTGCCACAGACCTATAGCAGTCAGCCTACACTTGGCACATGAAAGGCCTCTATCACTTGCCTTTCCTTTCTGGCCCCAGGAAGCAGATTCCTTGCAAATCCATTCATGGATAGGGTCATGGCTGTCCTTTATTAGCAAAGAGATTAGAATGGTGCTGGAAGGTGTTTCTCAGAAAATCAGAAAGACCAGCCAATAAGTGACAAGGAGGTATAATGATTTCAGTCTGTCTTGGGAATTCTATCTCTGCCTCATTACCTAGAACACCTTCCCATCACATGGAGTAAGAGCTGAGAGTGGAAGCTGTGGTCAAGGAAGGAAATATGCACAGGAATATCTTCGTGCCTCATTGTCATGTGATTTTCCTGTGGTGTGATGTCAAACTGATGAAGGACTTCCCAGACTAATAGTGGATCTCATCAACCAAAGACCATAGTTCACATCAAGTGGCAGTGTGCAGAGTGAAACTTTCCCAAAAGCCTGCCAGGAGAATCCTTCCTTCCTACCTCTATAACTACTTCCAAGGCTTAGCACTGACAGGGAAAAGGAGTAGGAGAATGAGTAGAAAGTCTGCACAGCTGTTGCCAAAACAATGCCTGAATTTACATTGCCACAAAACGAAGCCCCACTCCACTTGCACAACACAAGTATAAGGACTAAATTCTTAGCAGCCTCCGGAATGAGATCTAACAGCAGCAAAAGCAAGATTTCCCACCAGTTCAGCATTTGTCTAAGCCAGGCACCAGGATGAAATACCTCCCCGAAACCCTGTACAGTCAGGGAAGCCAAGACCTTCTATCCCAAGGACCCTCGAATCCTCAATACTTCTGAAGCAGCCAGCCCAAGGGCCAGCTCTGGGCACAGGATGTTTCAGGAGATACCCAGCAGTTACACCCATCCCTGATCCCATATGGATGCACAAATACAGGTGTTCAAGGATCTCCATTACTCCCAAGCTAAAGGAACATACAAGAGCCCCGATCAGAGAAGTACCTGGAGGTGGTACGGTGGTGGTGTATGTTGGTGTGGGCCTGGATGTGCTTGAAGTAGTAGAGATGGGTGTTGTTGATGAGCCAGGAACAGTTGTTGTCCGTGGGGTGCTGCTGCTGGTGGTGCTGATGGGGGGCACCGTGGTGCTGGCAGTGCTGATGGAAGTCTCCCCTGGTCTTGCAGTGGGAGTGGTTGTTGATTTTGTTGAAGGGGATGCCGTGCTCGGTGTCGATGAACCTGGGCCTGTTAGAAACAGCAGGCACAGAGAAAACAGACAAAGGCACAAGATGCATGAGTGGGACTCCATATGCTCTGAACAGAAATTACACATTAGAGAGCTGCTATAGCAATCAGTCCACTCTTGGCACATGAAAGGCCTCTATCAGTAGCCCTTCCTTTCTGGCCCCAGGAAGCAGACTCCTTGAAATCTATGCACAGGCAGGGTCATGGCCCTTCTCCTCCTAGCAAAGAGACTAGGGACGGTGCTGGAAGGTGCTTCTCACAAAATCAGAAAGACCATCTGATATTCAAGAGATTGGGTAGAGCAGTGCTTTTGATCTTGATGGGGCTTTCTGTATCTGCCTCATTACATAAAGACCTTACTAACTCATGGAGTAAGAGCTGAGAAGGGAAGCTGTGGTTAGGGAAGGAAGTATACCCAGGAATATGTTCCTGCCTGGTTATCATGGCATTTCCCTGTGCTGCAATGTCAGCCTGATGAAGCAATTCTACACAGCCCCACAGAGATAATGCCTCTAGTGATGGTAGCCTGAAGCATGGCCTCCTCTTATCTCACACAACCGGTCATTCCAGGAATGTTGTCTCGAGCAGAAATACAAAACCCCCAAACCTGCATAAGACTTCCTTGCAGCACAACATGTGCTATAAAGGTTACATGCCTTTAGTAGTCAACAGGCCTTTATTTCTCCAATGGCAAGGTAAAATCAGAGAGTATTTTTCTGTTAAATACCTGGAGATGTTGAAGTTACTGGAGTGGAGACTGATGGTATTAGTTCACTTGTGGTTGAAGCGATGTGTGTGGGCGAGGTGGTAATTTCTGTGGGAATCCTGGATGTAGTGGTGAGAGGTACTGTTGTCTTGGTGGTGGTTGAAGTTGCAGTTTGTGGTGTACTAGGTGTAGGTGTAATCTCACAGGGAATTTCTTTCCACTCACAACAGTTTACCCTGATTTCATAATTGTAGCAAAGTTGCCACATAGTTACATCTTGCTCCTCATTTTTACATATTAGTCCATAGGAAACATTACACTGCACTTTCTGACCAAGTTCCTCTAAGCTCACATCAGGTTTATCCTCTGCCCTGCATTCAATTTTTTCAGGAGCTTCACATATTTTGTATCCATGTTTTCTTATTTCATCATATGTTTCATAGTCACCACCATCTTTTTCAGGATTACTAACATCAAACCACTCAGTCCAATCACAGATTAATCCAAAGCATGGAGCTGAAAGAGAAGACAGAGATGTCACATCTGAGTTTACAGAGAACATTCTGAGAAGATCAATTTTTTATTTTCTTCCATTAAGGACTAGAGGAATGCATTGCAATTTGTCATCTTTCCAAAGAAAAGAGTTTTAAAACTGGTTCTATATTACCAGGGTTTTAAACTAGAAGTTTTGCATCAAAATAAAATCACCAAACTGACACATTTAAAGGTTCTTCTTCTGTCTATACCAATCACACTTTTGGAATTATAAAAAATTATTTATTTTTGTTTTAAATATATTTTTCTGTAGTGATTGTCTTTATTGTACTCTTCCTTTAAATATTTATTTGACATTTTTTAACTTTGATATTTTAAAACTTACTTGTAGTCACTGGATGGCTTGTAGTGGTAACTGAAACAGAACAAAAAGAGATTATTCCATCAGTTTCAAGCTTTCAAAAAATATAATAGTATGTTTAAATATCCTAATTATAATTCTTTGCTGACACTTCTGAGAAAACTTCTACTACCCCATTAGGATATTGAGATGCTAACATTTTTGTCAGAATTAGGAAGGCACCCTGTACATTTATAGTTACAATTTCTTCTATAAGAAATAAATCAACTCAATATGTTAAAATCTTTCTTACCATAGTGTGATAAAATTGTGTTGCTCTATCTGTATCATAAGCATTGCTCTGTGTCATCTATAATCCCATATACTTATACATTCAATATTTAAAATACTTTTCTTTAAGAAAACAATTTTTAAATCACATCTCTGTTGAAGATTTACCTGTGGTGGTAAGAGTACTGGTAGGAAATGAGGTTGAAAGGACTGTAGGTGAAGAAGATGTTGGACAAGGGTAGATTTTATCTGGAACCACAGAACCATTTTCTGCACAAATGTATGTTATACATATGTCACCATCCTGTACTTGTGCCACAGTCTGACCCACTTGATAACTCGTTCCATTGATGACACAAGGACACCCTGCAAGAAAGAGCTTTACTGTGCAATTTTTCTACTACCAGGTAAGAGGCAAAGGCAAAATACTTATGGAAAAGAGACCATTTACATGAGTTATGCATGCTTTTTCAGAGCTGCACCTTGAGCTTAGATCTAATATATTGTGCTAATTTATCTTTACATTTAAAGCAACATGAGAACATATTTAATCAAGTCCTGCATAAAACATTTGGAGGAACCAACTTAGAAACTAAGTTTTAAGGTGTTCTGAGAGAAATAATAATTGTAATTTACTATCTGACAGTTTTCCATAATAACAACATATTCAGGAAGTGCAAACTCTTGTAGTGAAATCCATTAGTTTAAATACAGGACATGGGGAGAAAAAATGAAGGAACATGAGAAAAAGGTTGAACAAGAAGTACTAACAGCAAGATTCAACAAAAGTGCTGCCCGATTTTCTTTGTTCAGAACTTTCACTGGCACTGGAGAGAATTATTCTAAATCAATACTAACTCTTTTGCAGAGTTAGATCTAGCAGTTCTATGCATTTTTAAATTATTGTTTGTAGAAAACCCCAAACATTATTTACCTGGAACTGGTTTACATTGTATGGATCCTGAGGGGCCACAGACACTAAAAGAAAAATTTTAAAAAATTAAAATGTTGTTTTATGATAGCTGTTAGCAGAGCCAAGAGCACAGAAACAGAAATTTCTTGCTTGATCTTCATTCACACTACTGTGTATTTTTCTGGATACAATATTCTCTAGTATTGTCTATCATTGTTTCATTCAAACTATGTCATCACTTTCATTCTTTAAGTACAACATTTTAAAACTATCATGAAACACATTATGTTGCAAGTTGCAACAGTACAATAACAACTGTTTTTCAGAGCAGTGAACTTACAGCTAGATAAGGGTCACCATGTGGAGCCAGAGGTATAAGTGCTATCATTAGCAAGGCTCTATGACTGAGCTGTTAGGACTCAAGTATCTCTTTCAGGGCTAGAATAGAGTATTTCAGATTATAGTGATTTCAGAAGTCCGGTTTTAAGTGAGAATGCAAAGCAGAGTAGTCCCTCTCTTCCCAGAGCCATGAAGAATCAAAAGGTTGTTCTAGAGACTCAGCCAGGTTTCATGCCATTATGACATTTATATCACTTCAAAGAGTATAAATAATGAATTTGGTAACATACTTATTATAACAAGGCTACCAACCAGAAATCTGGATGGTTATGGAAAATTATGAAATGCGAGAATATACCAGCTCTTCAGCTGAAGTTTCATCTCTATTTCCTTGAAGCCCAGTAAAGTAAATGAGGGACTTAGCATACATAAATTATTTCCTGAATTACTGCAAGAGTTTTTGTAATTTTTATATACCATATTGTACAGTTTTCTTCTGTGGGTATTTCATGCCCAGGGGGAACTTGAATTCCATCGATGTAACACCAGCACTGATCTTCAGGCACACATTCTTTTGTCTCTTCATTATAAATAGGCTTGTCCTTAGGACATCTGGGGTAGCAGCCTGTTGATGACAAGTAAACCAGCATACAAGTAGAAGAAAAAGTATAAGAAGTTAACTCAGTGATAGGTTACCTTCTGAAGGTAAATGATTCTCACTGAATCAAGCATAGTGAAAGAAATCAAAAACGATTCAAATCAATACTTGAACAATTAGTCTTTCCAAAAGACTTAAACAGTTTTCATTGAAAATACTGGGGTGAGGAGGATTGAGCCAGGGTTTTGTAATGAAAACTAGGGAAGCTATTTTTTCCTACCTATTTCAACATCTTGGAGAAACCCCTAATTTATATTCATTTCTATGGGCAGCTAGTAAGTTTAAGACAAAGAAACATCCTAGTTTTTCTATAGATCACTACATCAACAATACTTTTGTGAGGAATATGGAAGCAAAGTCACTAACAAACAAGTTTTTTAATACATTTATTGGAACATTAGCACTTGTTTACGTGCCTGTAACAGACCAGGTATCTCCACCTCAAACTGATAATTTATCTGCACTTTTCCATACCCTTGGTCAGTAATCCAAACTCCACTGCAAGGGATTAATTGACTGTCAATTCTCATTGCATTTTTCATATAAATACACTTTAAAAAATATTTAATGTGCCCTGCCTCCAAATAAACTCTTATGAAATCCTCTTTATACTACACTGGAGTTCTACATAGCCTTTAAACTGAAGTACTGTGTAATTAACTGATACTCAAAGTCACATTACACTGCCAGACTGTAATAAAGATGTCCTAACAAAAGTAGGACATGCTCTACATTTCTATTGAAATAAACAACAAAAATAATTTAGAAAGATAATTGGCTATATAATAATCTGCCTTCTGACACTTTCCAAATCTTTCTAATAATCTAAGACAATCTATTTTAAAACATAGAGGTTTGCTGATTTTTAAAAAATATTTTGGTTAGGAATTTTGGGGGTTGTTTTGTTTTGTTTTTTTCCCTTGGGTTTTGTTTTGTGGCTTTTTTTCTTTTCATTTTTTTACTAGCAGTTCAAAGCAAAGTCAAGCTTGAGGCATTTCTTTTTAAGAGATAAGTGCTTTCAGTCCAGACCAAAAGACTGCGTAGCCAAAAATGTGACTGTTTTCTCCAGCTTTACCATGTGGTAAAACAGAAGACATTTGTAAAGTCATTCACATTCTTGGATCATTGCAGTCACTATAACATGAAATTCCTTTTCAGTTGTCAAGCACAAGGACTTTCACCTACTAATATGGCATCTACAAATGAAATAGAATCTCCGATAAGAATCCAATATACAGCAGCATCTGTGTGTCTGATATCAAAGATATTTTTCAGGGTAAAGGTAGGAGAATGCTGCACATTAATCCAGTAAAATCAAGATGATCTGATACATAAATAAGGTTATAAGTTGATGCATATATAAGGTTAAAAAACCCCAATTATCAGTAACTTGCTTTTTTGCCATATAAAAGATTTTTCCTTCCCTGAAATACCTTAAGAAGGGAGGCAAAAAAACCATGGTGTAATAATCTTGCATGTATGAGGATATTACCCAAGCAGAGACTCAGTTTTATAGCTGACAGCATTTTAACTATCACCCACTGATGTTAATAAATAATAAATTCCATGATAGGAAACATTTATGTAAGACTGGAGACAAATTCAACGTAGCAGATTTAGGAACATCTCATCAGGCTGACTGATTATTCCATACTCATTAAAAGGTACACAAAGTTATACAAAACAGAATACAGAAATGACAAGGAATTTATTACCTTCCAGGTATGGTACTGTAAAGTTGGTGCTGACATTATTAATCATCCTGCAGGTTGTGATGTTACTGCCACAAGGCTCATAGTGCCACTCACACTCATCGCGAGGGTTGTAGTAGTCACAAAATATTGCTGATGGGAAAAAAGAGAAGCTGATTAAAAACAGGGTTGTCCAAATGCAGTTCTGATCAGGTCTTTAAAGGCACAAGATAAATAAATTTACATGTTAAGCCAGCAAAATTTCTCTTGAGGTATAGGACCTGGACTTTCTGCTACTATGCTTAAACTTAGGGTACAGCAAAACTCTGGTGCCCAAGATTTCTACTAGCAAACTCTTAAAAATTTTTGCAGTATATACAAAATAGTTCCATCTTGCTGTATCACATGGGCTGTGAGTCACCTGCACCAGGCCAAGAGCAAGCATATGAGTCATTATGGATACAGCTTAAATTCGGCTTAGATGACTATGGACAAAGGAGCTTTTACTAACATAATATATCAGAGTTGACTGAAACTTATAATTTTTTTTTCACTGACTTCTCACACTGAAAAACAACAATTAGCCCTAATTCTAAAACAGAATTAATTTTTAAAATTAAAAAATTTTATATTTCTGCCATTCTCAAAATTTTGATTTGAGTACTTTTTGGGTAATAAAATTAATTTAAGTACTATCTTACATTGTTCACAACATTAATTAGGTTCATCTACACAAGAGTGCTACATGCTTTTTGCTAAAATCAAATTCTGCATGATTTGAAGAAATGAGAAAGGAAAAAGATAATGGGAGTTGCAGTTCACCAACTATCAATTGGAAGGATGACTTTAAACAGAAAGGAAAACCAAAAAGAGAAAAGTGGAAAAGTGAGAAAGGGGAAAGGGGAAAGAGGAAAAAGTGAAAATGGGAAAAGGGGAAAAAGAAAGAAGCCAGGCTGAAAAAAAGACAATTGAAATATACAGATTTACTAGTCCTGTTTGTTCCCTGATATGCTGTGAAAATAAATTTCATTGTGTAGGCAGCATGACCTTACAGCAATAGTATTAATTATTTATTTGACTGACTTTTTGACAGCAGCTAGAAAGATACATTTTTGTTTAGCTGTTACTCACGGCATATATCAGGAGTTCTCCAGAAAACACAGGCCTCAACCTTGGTACATTCTTGGGCATAAGCAGCAACTGCAGAACAGAAGCACTCACAATCTCCACCGCTGTCACAAGAGCAGGCATCATGAACACAAGCATCATAGAAAGGAACTGGGTCCACCTGTTGGGGAAAGAAATGATGCCCCAGTTCATCTCCAAATTAGTTTTCAAATAAGTTTGAGAGCTCTTGAGACATGGGAATTTAGCTGAGTAGAAGTGAGACTGTTTCTAAGAATTACCAAATCACAAACAAACATTTATAGGCTGCTCAATATATTTTGGGTAATAATAGACTTAAAAAATACAGCACCTTCATAATTTGCTATGACTGAAAAAAATAAGAGTCCTTGACAGTGCCCACATTTGCTAAGAGTTCCATTTTAGTGCTCTCAAATCCAAGTTGAATTGATGCCAGTGAATTCTTATCTTCCAGCAATCTTTGCCAACCAAGTGGTGAGCAATGTCAGAAAGGCTGCTCTATACAGCAAATATGAAGCAGATAATTTTGTGCTTGTCAGTATTTAGAGTTTATCTAATGACAAATTAGCAAGGCATTTTTTTGCTTGGGACTGCAAGAGGAGAAATTTAGACTGGATTTTAGCTGCTGAAGTAGAAACATATAATAAGTTAAATAAATTGACAACTATTTGTGACTTTTCTACTATGAGTTAAGAACAAACTGTGTATGCTATGGCCATTTGCAGGCACAGTACCAGCAGCTGCCTGTCTAAACTGCATGATATCAGTGGTCTCCAAGGAGATCCTTTCTGTGGACTGAATACTACAAGAAGCAGTAGACTCTTCACCAGCACCCTTTCAAGTATAGTATGCATTTCTGTCAGGAGATGGGTCTGATGATTGTAAGGCCTTTCAGAACTTATAATACTGACTGTCTCTCAACAAGAGGTGGTGCAACTGCAGCAAACATGACGTAGATAGGGTAGATGTATGAAGCTGACTTGCAAAGCAGTAGCAGTGAAACTGTGGTGATGAATATGGGTTTGTACGGCTGGGGCTGCCACCACTACTGACACAGTCCCACTACCACAGAGGCTCAGCCCACTTTGACTAAGGCTAGGTGAAATGTGCTAACACCTGTAGCTGTACTGAAGACTTAATTAAAGATCCCTCTATTCATTAATTCATAATAACCATCTCTTCATTAAGTTTTCATGGTCTCTCTGCTGCTGCAGTAACAGAAATGCACTGTGCTGTCCCATCATCTACTTCCTTCTACAAACCTTGGAATGACAAATTTTGAAGACTTCACTCAGGATGATGCTGCATTCTTTCTCTGCCCAGGACTTCCGATGTGGCTTCAAATCACAAGGTTTAATCTCTTGTGTGACATCTGGGCACATGGGAGACTGTTTCCAGGAATTCCCGAAGTTCAGAGCATTGGTCTCCTGCAGTCCGCTCCTTGTTATAAAGTCATTGTTTGACTTGTCATCGAAGTTGCCACACAGACCACACACTTTGCCCTTGAAAAGAAAATTGACATATCCACAGTTTTTAAACATACCATGGAAGTGAGAAACAGGTGCTGGTAAAGTAAGAGCAAAACACTGACATTAAAAATTAGAGCTGACTGTCTGTATAAATGATCACTTTCATCTTTACTCCCAAATCATTTGTACAGAAAATAAATTTTTATTTGTCTGTGTACTCAGCAAACTATTCAGCTGCTGTGTCTTACCTCCTTGAAACCAATTACATCTAGTGTATACATTCCATATCTCTGTCTCCATATCCACTTAAAACACTAAAGAGTGGTCAAGCCTTTTTCAGCTGAGAAGAATTAATTTATTTTCCATTCTTCTCAATTTATCATAGCTCAGCTATTAATATAAGTCTGAGGTAATTCAATTCAGCTCAAAACTGGTTTTTTAAAAAGCTTCTAACATAATGATGCTATTTCCTCATCCATGGAAAAGAAATTACAGGGACCCCTTTTACTTGAAAGAAAGCACTTCACAATCTACCCTCAGTAGCGAATTTTTGGTAGTGCTATTTAAGGTCCATCAGCCTCTCAAGATATAGCACATCCCTGTATATACAATGCCTCAATACTCTCCAATTCAGCATGCTGATCTTCAGAAACCAGAACCATCTCCATAGGGAGTTTGGTTTTAATACAGGGTTGAGATTGCATGTAGGTTTCCAAGTGCTTGTCCTGTCAATTTGCATCCCTAAATTACTTCAGATGGTTGGCTATCAACGTTCACAAACTCAGAGTGTGTTAGATGTTTAGCTCTACTGCAATAATATCCTATGCATTCTCTGCAATGCATTGTGATAGACTGTAAGAAACCCCAGCAGCACCTCTGCAAGCTGTGGTAGTAATAATGCAAGCTAATCAATGTGAAGAGGACATAGAAACTAAACAGGGAGTCAGAATAAAAGAATATTAATGTTTCCTTATCTATTCGTAATACTACTTCAGAAAAAGACAGACAGGTCCTAACTTTGTAATCGGGGCTCAGCTTGATGAAAACAGTAGTCTTCTTATCCCAGATAAGCATCACACCATTGCTAGCCTCAATAACGAGGTAGAGGCCTACTGTCCTGTTCCAATAAAGCACATCATCACCAACATCTCGCTGAATTTCTTTGTACTCTTTGTTCTCCAATTTCAGTTCAGTTTTCTGAAAGATAAAAGGAGAAATATTGTAACAGTAACTTTTATGATGAGAGAAAATATTAGACACTCATAACAATACAATTCATTCTGACACTAATAGCTCAAAGTCTGGGATGACTTTGCAAGATGACGAGTGGTGTAGCACTTGTGTTTGTGAGAGGTTTAATCACCTGAGAATCTACACCTTTACAGATCAATTTGATATGGCCTCTAACACTGGTTACAGCTGCTTTTAGGGATGTGGCTTTGGAGCATTATTTTCTGGTAATACTTGAATACTGATATATACTCATTGAGTATCATTACTCACCCCTAGGAACATTTTGATAGCTTTTGAGCAGGTGACTCCTGTAGTTCCACAAGGGACATTCTCTGTGATGATGCTGAATGAGCCGCTGGAATTTTTGTCACCACAAAAATCCTATTGAAAAAGAAAAAAATAGGCATGAGAAAATTAGGTAGAATATTTCATTTTAGTTCAATGTCATAATAATTACAATCATTTAAGTCTTCACAATGTACAAATCATTACTGCTGCTTCAAATGTGAGATCCTATATACGTATGTTTTTACAGACTCACAATCACATACACAGATTTCTCTGCATACATATAAACAGTGTCTTGACCTGGGAAAGCAAGTAGGACAATAAAACAAACTGACAAATATATTTTTAAATATAAGTATCTTTGGTTTCTAAACTTAGAATTTGGATTTATTTTGCAACTGATAAGGAGCTGTTAGCTCTCACTATAAAACAGTTCTGTTACATATAGTTTATGACCACTATATGAGAAGAAAAAGTGACATTCACACAGCCTGCCTGTACTGGAAATACACAATTTCTTCCAGCAGAATGTGTGAACACCTCAGGAAAAGTGATGGCAGACAATAAAGAATGACAAAACCAAAGAGGAAAGCAGATCTTCAAGGCAATCAAATGCCATTTCAGCCCTCCTGATGAGCATTACCTGAATAGCCACATATTCACAATTCCCATCAAAGTCATAGAATTTTCCATCAAAAGTGATATAATGGCCACTTCCATATATCATACAACTCCCATGGCACGCATTGGCAGTGCAGCTCCAAACCCCTTTTTGGCAGGTACTAGAAAAGAGCAGAGAAGTTGAATTTTTAGGTATCACCAAGAGTGCGCCATTTGGAAAACTGCAAAACAAACCAAGCAACTGCCTAATACAATATGATAATGTGCAAAATATCCAAGTCTCAATTTCAGCAGTTTTGCCTGGTTTTAAGCTTATAACGTGATTTTTAACTCTGGTCAGCTAAAGATCTTTAGATCTTTAGATAACATTTATATTTAAAACATGAGTGCATTTTCCCAACACCAGATGCCTACTGAAAACAGAGGTAGATACTGCCCCAGTATTTTCAGCAGAATCTGTGTTTCCTCAGATAGCAATAAATATTCCTGAAAATAAAAGATGATAGTTGCAGTTTTTGCAGCCACTGTAACACATAAGCCTAGACATGACTATTAATACATGGCATAGAATATATTCTAGAAGAGAGTTCAAAATTATAATTTACCAGGTGTTGCAGTCCACTGTTATCTTCTGTCCAGAAGAATACCACTCGTTGTTATGAACGCATGGGCAGTCCTTCTCCTCAACACAGCCTCCTCTGCCATCATCAAATAGACCTTCAGGACACACACAGCCTGAGACACACTCTGTCTGGAACTAAAGAATATAAGGAGAAACGGTTACCTTATGATAATGTACTGCATTTTAATTCCACTTCTTCACAAGCACACTTTAAAAACTGCATTTATAACCAAATAGCCTAATATTTATTAGTTTTATAAGGTTCTTCTTTCTAGGTTGGTAATGTTTTTCTTTTCTATTTTGGTTGTCTAAGAACCCAAATCCTATTTCCCTTGGGAGTTACAACTCTACTGAAGACACAGTAAAAAGAAAGAGGAGAGGGAAACTATAAGGGGATTCATCATGAAAATGGCAACAGATTAACATCATTGGGGAGAAAAAACGGAAGATTTAAACCAAAGAGAAATAAACTGTTAGTTACAGCTGTATTTTCTATGTAGCACTCTGTCATTTAGAGAATACAGAATAAAGAAAACATGACCTGAAGAAAACTTGAATACATACATGATTTGCTTGAGGGGTATGACAGCTAAGTTGTACAGGTGTTTGTGAAGTCCATTTTGAGGATGCATCGCAGTCAAAGAATGTCTTGTTAGAAGAACATTCTTCTACACCTGAAAGGTATATTGTTGGTTTAGATCAGTCAAGAAAAGGCAAAAGAAATGTGAGTGAAATATGGTAGTTACTGAGACAGAAATCTCAGCACATGCTCTATCCTTTTGAAAAAAAAGAGGCTCAGTGAAGAGAGAACAAAGTGAAAATATGCAATGTTTTACATAGAAAAAAAACATATAAAACAAGTAAGTGGAGAATTCAAAAGGAAAGTAGTTTGTTTTTGAAGGTTGGTTACGGTTTTCATTTTATTTTACTTTATAGAATGTCACTTACTTTTCATTCTCATTTTCACTGAGGTACACTGGACCTTTGCATTTCGGCAAACACTAAAAAAGTGAAGTAAGTAGAAATTAAAAAAAAAACAAACAAGCTCAGTGTCTTCAACTTAAGTCTAAGGATTGGTTTATATAAATTTGAGAGTATTTATCAAAGATGTTCTGCATAATTTCTACTGATATTTCAAGTCAATTCTATTGAAACACAGTCACGAATTTTCACTTGGAGAAAAAGTGTAGCAAGATTTTAGGTCTAATGCACAGAAAGGTTGTGTTTTAAGGAGTAACAGCCACTTTATTAATCCTTAATATTGCAGTTTTTGATGGCTCAGGAAATAGATAATAATGAAACAGATAAGAATGAGAATTTAAATCAAAGACTTCATTTGGATACACAGTGTATTTTCATGCCTATTCAAGTCACATGCTGCAAATTTGTTGGCCTGTATGCTTCTTCTCCTAGGCGAGAGAAGGTAATAACAGTTTGCACCAATGACTCAGGCAGCAAACAATTGCCAAGGTTCGTGGCAAAATACAACAGAATCGTGAAAGTTGTTTTCAAAAGCCTATGCTATACTAAATACATATCAAGGGGATCTTCCTCCCACAGAAAACACAAGTGATCTGTCTTTGCCAGAAAAGGAAACAGTAACATAACATTTAGTTGGCCTTTTTTCTTCTTTTCACACCTCTGCTTAACAAAGCCCTATTAACAGTGCAGCTTCAAAGTAATGTTTACCTGTGAAGGCCTCCAAAGCAAGCTGCACTTCTCAATTATTGATAAATTAAATTGCAAAAGCATAATACTTTGCTTGGCATGAAGATATTGTGAAATGTATTACAAATGTTCATTAAGTACCAAAAAAGTTAAGCACCTTACACCAAATAAGCAATTTTTTTAAAGCCTTTTATCCCAACAAACAAGAAGCCACAATAAAACATACCAGCGGTCTCCATCTTTTGTAAAATATTCCCCAGGTTCCAGGTATGATCCCTTGTAATAACATGGGCACTCAGAGATGGGCACACAGTTATCCTGTTTATCCAGGTATGTATCAGATGGGCAGCCACAGCCATCCACAGGAGCAAAGTCTTGCAAGCAGTACTTTTCACCATCAGCAAGGGAACGACAGGTTTGCTCGCACCTTGTAATGTTGTAAAGGAAGACTTGATTTCCTTGACAGGCAGACACTTCACTGCCTGGAGGGAAAATAAATAAAATGATAAATAAGAGATGCAGGATGGACAATTTAGCCTTGACATTTCCATTTTGGTTTCCTTGGTTGTGCAGTATGTAATGATAAAAACATTCCCTTAGATTTTATTAAAGTACAAAAATATAAGAAGTGACAAGTAACACTAACCTAACTTCACCAGTCGAAGACTTATTTTTAACTGTTACTAATAGTTTCTTTCATAGCTCTATTTATTTCACATACTGATAATCAGAGAGAGAGCACAATATAATAAGCTCCTAGTCTCAACAATACCACACTGTTGATGAAAAGCTAGCATGATGATAAACAAAGACATTGATAAACAAAGGCAACATAAAAGCCTTGATGGCTGGGATTCCATTAATCAAAGAAATGAGATTATTACTTAAACTAGGGAAAGAAGGTGAAAGTGAAAAATAATGCTCTCTACTTTTAAATATATCATGAACAAATTACAGCTAAAGAATATAACAGGAATTAGTAAACATTATAAACATTGTCTCTTTTAGGTCCATTAGACCTTTCTAAGATACTCCAAATCCCTTAACATTGAGATCACTAACAACCAAATTCAGAGAGAGCCTCCTTGTTTCTCGTGGCTAATTAATTCCACAGGGATTACAGTTCCACTACTTACTGCAGACACTGTCTCTCCAGCCTTCCAGTATGATTCCTTTGAAAGCACAGGCTCTCGAATAAGAGGACAGGGCAGCACACAAGCATTCTTCATTATCTTCACAGAGGCATGTGTCATATTTACATTTCTGAAAAAAAGAATGAAAGGGTCAGTAAACTCACAGGAAACCAATGGGCAATTGCAACTGGGTTGCTACAAAATATCTTGTGTACTTTTCCTGATGTTGTTTATTAACTCCCATGACCAGAGAACAATGGAAGGAATGGACAAAGACCAGAGACTGAAAGTGCTGCTTCATTTCATACACAATGAAAATGTTTGGATGCAAACTCTAACCTAAGCCAAGCCTCTTGAACTTTTAAAAAATACCCAGCCTCCTGACAACACCTTTTTCAAAGGATATTGATACTGTTCTTTCTCAGTTACAAATTAGAAATGCAGAGATCCACAAAAATTAGAAATCATAATGGCAAAATATTAACCAGATCTTTGAAGATCTTCACAACATTTGAGCTCAGACTGAGTTCCAAGTATAAGAAATAACTTAGGTATTTCTTCTTTTTCCTCAGGTAAGCCTCACTTATGCTCTACAATGACGAGCAGAGGGGAAAACAATTCAGGAGATTCTGACGTGAAAATGATTTGGTATTACATTCCAACCAATATATAGGAAACTTTTTTTTCATGACTTTATAGCAGCTAATGTTTAAGGGTAGTCAGTGCACATTTGTATCTCTTGAATCTTCTTTTCAGTTCAAATATCCAATCCAATAAAAATGTTCATTAAATACAAAACATAAGAAAGCAAACTTCAGCAGCACCCTGTAAGAATCTTGTCAGAGGAGATACTTTATATGCATGCTACGCTGCTTGAGTCAATCAATGCAAAGAGTTCACCACCACTTATGGGCAAGCTACTGGGTAATGTCTCAAACATTTGAACAATGTTAAATGTCTACAGTTAACCATGTGAAATAATGCAGTACTAAAAAGCGTGCAAGATTCAATACCTTATAGTATTCTGAAGGATCAATGACTAAGTGACATGTTGCAAAAGGACCTTCTGGGTTTTTCAGCAAAGAACACCAATGCTCAGCATAATTTGCTGGGAAAAAAAGAGAAATTCATCACATTTCCCTATCTCGCTTGTGCCACGTCTAGTTACGCTGACAGATAAAAGCAGTGCAACAATACAAATTAGAAAACTGTGCATTTTGGGGAGTGAAGAAACTACATGCAATCATTGCACATATATTTCTGTTCTTTGATTCAGAAACATGTAATAATAAAATCAAAACCTGTATCCCACTGCTGTAACTGGTTTACATAGAATTGTGACAGCCCTTTCCATTTGAGTACCCTGAAGCTAAGTTAAACATAAGGATAAACAATACTAGGAAATACAAGCGCCTTTACAAATAATATAAATTAACGATCTTGCTTCCCTATCTTCCGGCTCAGGACCCTTCTACAATCACCCCTTAAACTTTCACTTCAGTTTGATGGGAAATGAGTGCTTGTATGTGAACATACGTGCAGATATTAATCTAAAAATTACTGTTTGTTGCAGTAATATCCAGCAAACACTGCTCATTCTGGCAAAAGCCAACCATCTGACATTCATCTACTTACCACTTTCAATGCTGAGGCTGCAAGGGTCTTCCAGCTTTTCTGCCTGGTCTGTACAGATGGACTGAGCTTTCCATGTGTTCGCAAAGGCAGATCCTGTAGCTTCTACCAGCCCACTGGTTGTTTTAAAATCATCACCTTCCATTCCATTAAAGTTTCCACAAAGACCTATTGGAAAAGAAGGTAAAAATTTTACATAATCATTACTCATTCTCGTAATAAAAGGTCAAAGAAAAGGGACAACTGGTCACAAACATTAGAAACAGAAGTTCATACAGCTGATTATTCCACCTCAATATTGATGCAAATGACAAATACTGAAGTTTTAGGAGGCCTATTTTAAATCTTCAACCTCTTGAGAAGAATAGTCTTCATGAAGATATCTCTGCCTCAGGAGATTACCACCTCAACCTGTAATTTTACGCTTTCTGATGATATTGAAAACACAAAAGGCACCAAAAACCTGTTTTTGTGTATAGTTAAAATTAAACTGAATATAGAAGTAAGGAATATTCTAAGAAATATCTGTGTACTGGCACTAGAGTGATAGATCATTTCAATGTGAAAAACTAAAAGCACATTTCTAGTTTGCTTGAGTCCATTTGCTTTCAATGATTTGGTTTCTGCTTTCAGTTTCCTCTTCTTGAATCAACAAGTAGCATGAGTTATCTCTCATGTAAAGAGTACACGAATCTTAAGCTGCGGAACAGCATGACTTTGCTTCCTCTTTGCATAGACACTTGCCTTGAATTTTTCCTTCAGCTGATTGATCCACAGTCACAAACAGTTGCATGACTGGAAGCAGCTGGATCTGCACCTGAAGCTCGAAAGGTGTTTGTACAACAAGGTAGTTGGAAGATGGCTGGAATACTGAGAAGCTGGCTGAAAAACAAAACATGAACTGTGCAATAAATACACACACAAGCTGCCAGAAGAAATACTTTTTATTAGATTCTAAGGTATCACCTGTCATAAAAACTCTGAGACCAGGATCAAATTAATAATTTTTTTCCTTTAAAAATCACTGGCCTACTAGATATGATGATGGTCTTCACTAATTTAAAATGCTGATTACCTGTAGTGACTCTTCTCTGGCATCAGAACCAAATGGCATACCCACACCATGTAGCCAAATTTGGAAAGTGCTAAATACCTCTCTTCACAGGCAAGGTAAATTATCTGCTTTAACTTTCCGTCATGGTAATTCCTCTTTCCCAAGCTACGTGCCAAAGTATGTTCAAGAGGTACGAAAAAAGTGAAAGGACCTTTTTTCAGTCATCCACTCTATACAGAGGCAGTGATTCCATTAAATCCTCAGATGTCTATTAAATCACATTCATCCCCAACTTGTTACCAAATCTGAATAAATCTCCTATGCCACTCTTCCACTTTTGCCTAGGAAAAAAAATTCCTACATGAGAAGTCAGGTGTGACTGGACATACAAGGCTGTGTCACTTACCTGACACATGAGGCACATTCACTGTCATCTCATTCAGTAGCACGCTGCCATCGGATCTGAAAACCACCACCTGTACGATGGCAAATAGAATCAGTGAGGTTCCAAGTACTGAGAGGAAAAGGAACTAATAAAAGGGAAATTAACAATAAAGGTCTTTTGCACATTTAGGCTGTGACTAGAACTTTAAATTTTTGAAAAGAAGAAACCATCTGAAAATTTAAATGGCAGCAGACCTGTAGGATACAAGTACAGTTTTGTCTTGCTATTCAGTGTTTTGCTCACATCTGCCTACAACAGTAATGAAATATATGAAATATATGAAATATATGAAAAACTCATTTATATTGGGCACTTTGGTTTCAGCAAGTAAAAGAAAATATTAGGTCTCCAGGATCTGTAGCAAGTTCCTAATCCTTATAAAAGCATGTGCCACAGCTTCAGTGAAATGGTTTAGCATGATTCCAGCATGGTCAGAAAGCAGTTTATTAAACTTCCTCATAAAATGCTAGTCTGTACACACAGAAACATAAAATTATTGGTTTCTGATTCAGTTTTCTTTTGTTCTACTTATGCTGGCAAAGACATTGAAGTCCAGAAATACATGAGGAAAATTATGTGTACATGTGTGTAAAATTATGGATAAATATAATCTATATATTACCACAACCAAACAGAATACTAAATTGAATATTTGAGACGGTTGCATTGTATCAACATTCAAAGATAGGATTTCTTCTGAAAAATATCTATAAAACTATATCTGAATAAAGTAAAATACTGTGAGGGGAAGAAGAATGGGATTCTTGCTTCCAGATATCTGGAATACTGTGAGAATAATCATATAGCACAGAGGAGAGGAGTGAAGAGGGGAAAATGTCAGCTGTTTTGAATTTCACCTTTTGTTAAGTTTAGGTCTATTTTGGATTCTCAAGGCAGAAATCTGAGTTGTTCTTTAGCCTGTCTGAGGTGCCTTATCTATCCACAATAACAACTCCAGAAGAATTAACTGTTCCTCCACAATAAGGGAAATATGCTGATTTTCAACATATCTAGCAGAACCCATAGAACAAAACTTACATTTTTTTTGTTATCCACTAACAGCACAACAGTCTTCAAGCAGGTCTGCCTGTCTGTGGAGCCACAGGGAGTCAGCTCTGCCAGGAGAGCATAACTGTCATTTGCAGTATCCTACAATTACAGGGAAATAAATGTCCATTAGTCCAATCAAAAAATCTCACGAGATTACTTCCAAACAAAAACTAAATTTATCTGTCACAATAACTTTGCTACAGACCTTAGCTATTAAGACCACCATGTCAGCACTAGCTCTTACAGCTGAACATTCTTTCAAACAAATTCAGAGCCATGGTTTCTAGTTCAACAAGATTTTTGCCATTCTCTAGAAGAACAGGCACTAGATATTTTGGGGACAGATGAATGAAATAGCTGCCTACCTCATTTCCCTAGCTGACTTCAATACTCAGACAGAGAAACAGCTATTACAGAACTGACTGAGAATTTCTGATCCTGAGATCTGCCAATTTTTGCAGTTTACATGTAGCCAGAGTGACTTTTTGATACACAAAGGACTCCACTGGATAATGACAGCATAGCTATCAGACTGAGTTAATCACCCATTGCAATAAGTCCCCAGCTTCCCTCTAGGGCTATTACAGCCAACCCTGAACTTTATAGCACAACTTAGAGCATTTCTGCTTCCCTTACCCCCATGAAACAAAACAATAACTCACAGTTGTTACATATCAGCCCACAGACACTAGTATATACTCTACAAGAGAACAGCCCTACAGTACACAGTACCTTGGCCAATACATAGTAACAGTCTCCATGGAAGGTGTATTTCTTCCCATCAAAGGTCCTAATATGGGAACCTCCTTCCACTGAACATGTGCCTGGACAAGGTAAATCTTTGCACGTCCATCTGCCTGAATTACAGGTGCTATAAACAGACAAATAATAAAAAAAAAATGCTCGTAGGTATTACAGGAGCTGAGAGCACTGAAAGCATCAGTATACCTAGCAAACAGCAAGATATCCCCAGGTTGTTTAAAACTGTATCTTTGACCATTTCCTTAAGATTTGCCCTGGCATATTCCACAGATTCAAGAAAACTTTTCAGAAATTTGATTCTACAGACATGCAACATAAACATCAGGTTCAGAATGTTTTCAGGATGTCTCTTATGATCAAGTGGAAATTTGAAGAACACCGACCCACTTACAATCATTCAAAGAAAAGCCTATTCACAACCAGGATCCTTACCATTCTTCACATTCATTGGAAATGTTTTCTCCAGGTGCATACTGCTTTCCAAGGAGTTTGCAGTGGCATTGGCTAACAGGTACACAGCCTTTTCCAGTAATATCATCATACACAGTTCCTATAAAACACAACATTAACTATTCCAGCTCTTTTTGAAACAAGCGATTTCCACAGAGGACAAACTCTCAATTTGCCACATGCTGAGTCTGTCAAAATTGTGAAGAATAGTGTTTCTACTTTTTGTAATGTAAGACACATGAAAAACACTTTTATCCACCTTTGAAAATCCAAATCTATTCATTTATAGAACTATACATAGATAAAAAAGCTTACTGTAAGTATACAGGAACGATCTCAGAATGTTATATGTTTAGATTTTCAGTCCTTCTGGCATATTCTGAAGACTATCATTGTAATCTTTCCCAAGGCTGACAGTAAATCTGAGAATTTCAATCTCAGTCCCTAATTGACACTCTGGTAAATTATGTCCTTTGTCTCAGAATTATTCAACCTAAAAAGGCTGATTTTCTATATATTATCAGAAGTTCACTTATTGAGAATGAAAAGCAGATTTACTACATGTCATTGTGTTAATATGTTCGAACTATAAAATAATTGATTAATTAATCAATTATGACTGCCTCAAAAAAATCTTATGGTTATGTTCTCCTAGAGGGGAAAATAAGGAGAGCAGTACTAATTTTTAAGATATAATTTGACTATATTTAATATTTTAGCTATGATCTTCTTTGCCAGAGCTCTTGGTTTTGTTCCACACACAACAGGTAGAATAACACTTGCCTTCAGGGCAGAAACAACCATCCATGTAGTGTTCCTCACAAAGGCTGCTGATGTCCAAGTGTGAGCAAGTATCCGTGCAGGGTGAGCTGCTTTCTCTATAGACCATGGTATCAGGACAGGTCTTGGCTGAAAGAATAAGAAAGACACCAGGAGTTATTTGAGTGGAATATCCATAATCCCTCAGAAACCACAGATCATATACCCTATTCCTCTCAAGCCAGTGATGTCTCAAGCCAGACTCCACCTGGCAAAGCATGTTCATCTATTTCTGAAGTGCTTTCCCTGTTTCATACATTTATTTCTTTTGGTTTCAAACAGATCAAATTATCTCGGTCATCAGCAGCATCAGCCCTCTCAGTCTTACAATGGGAACTGATTATCTGCTTGCTGAAAAAGATTTCTTAATAACAAGGGTAATAGAAGAAAAAAAAGAGGGAGAACACATTATGTAACTTACTGTACTCCTGGAATGAAATTTATAATATACGCCAATGGTTTTGTAAAGAAGTAATGAATTTAAATGTTTCATGGTTCTACATCAACGAAATATTTGGGTCTTTGTAAAATTTGTATCGTTGCTTACGGCAAAAGTTCTGCGTCCTCCATTCACCCGGCCGGCCACCGGCGTGCGAACACTGGCGAGAATACTCAGAGATGGTGCTGCAGATGCAGAAGGAGTCCTCACTGCCGCTACAGGCACACTTGTCCTGCATGCAGGCTTGGATGTACGTTTCCAAATTAAGACGGAACCGACAATCGGCAAATGCAGAGGAAGTCAGCAGCCTCTCACACTCGTCACGCTAAGGAGAAAGAGTAATAATGTTTGAGAGATTTGTAAACATCTGAGCTTCTGGTCACTTCCTATCTTGTATAAAAACTGTTGTCTTCTGAACAGTTATTCAAGAAAGGAAAAGTAATCATTTGCCCAGGAATGGACAGTCTTCCAAGCTCCTTGCAACTAACTCCCTGTAGCACAAGGATGTGTCCATGGAAGTGAAGTTCACCAGCAGGAATACTCACATGCTCGTTACAGCTTGGAAGAGCCTGAGTTTCATCTGGATCTTCACATTTGGCATTGGGTTTGCTGATCTTCTGCAAATTCCCATATGTAATTGAATTGTAGCTTGCATCTATGAGAAAAAAATTTGGAGAACTTGCTGAGCCCCAAAAATTGACCACAAGGAGCATCTGATTCATGGGGTTCTTCTGATTAAGGAAAACAATTACTATGCTGTCAAACACATGTCAGACACAAGTATCTGCTCTGAACTGTGTTTAACCATGCTTGAAAATGTAAAGGGGAAGAAAGAAAAGAAGGCTAGTCGAGAAAAGAACAATAAGATTCATCTGGAATAAAATAACCTTAGACCAGGAATGCAGCACTGGAACATGATGCTTAGTCTGGAGCAATCATAGAAATCTCTCAAGTGAAATTTGCTCTCCTGTGATGCTTCTATGTACAATGCTTGTCACCCTATGTTCTGTGACAACTGTCAATATGGTAGAATGACTCACCTCCCTTGATAAACTCATTGTAGATTGGAATTCCATTGTAATCCCCACAGAGGCCACAGGTTAGGTTATTAAATTTGTTGTCCAGCTCCACCTAAGTAATGGAAAGAAAGAGGAAAAATATAAAAGAATTCTCTTTTTTTTTCCTGCTTTTTTTTTCCCCCCTACTGGGATAGAGAAATATCCCAGGAAATAACAGTAAAAAGTTCTTTCATTAAACATACCATCAGTGCATCCTGCTGATTCCACATCAGAACCATGCCTAATTTGGCATAAATTTTGGTGTAAATGTCATTGCTCTCAATGAGCAGACCAGAGCTGTAGTAAGGTGTCTTCACACTAGGAAGAAAATTAGAGATTTTACATTAGTTCAGAAACATAAGGTTTGACATGAATGTCTGTAATAAGCCAAATACCCTAAGGAACAGAGAAACCAGTCTCTGACTACCTCATCCTGGCTGCACAGGATGCCTTGTTTTAATGAGGCATAAAATATCTCTCTCTGACACTTGGGACAATAACTCATTGCCTTTAAAAGGCAAAGCTATTTCAGAGGCAAAGCTTACCCAAGGGTACAGGTCCTTTGATGAAAAAACCAAAATGTCAGATGTCTTCAACTTAATCAAAGGAAAATCCATCATCATTGTGCTATTAACAGAGGATATTCAAACACTCACTAAAAATTTACTTCCATGAAGGAAGCTACAACATAAATGAAAGCTTTTCTTTACCAAAAGATCTGATAGCCCTTTCAGAGAGAATGATTGTTCCTTTGGAAAGAACTTCCTCCTCAAAAGAGTTCAAAAAGCACAGGCAGATGCAGGGATTGCCAACAAAATTTTGAAAACAAAGGAGCATTTTAAGAGGAATTGAGTAGTTATTTCAGTAGTTAGTTACTTAGTTTTTGGTTGACAGAATGGTGACAGAACATACTTTGCAGAGAGTTGAGCACAGATATTTTTGTGTGATAAAGAATCAATTCACCAGATCTCTCTCCTGATTTTGTATGTCTGTCTTACAAATCAAACTGAACTGCTGAATTTCATTCAGCAATAAAGGGATTATGGCAAGCAGCCTCATCCTATAAAATCTAGAGAACTAGAGTCTGTTCAAACAGAAGTAGTGTAAAGTGAAATCCAGTCAAAATAACTGGCTCATTTTCTACAGATTTGTCAATATAATTGCTATCCATCAGGATTCATGCATGCGTATGCACATCTCCTCTTAACTAGTCTCTTGACTGAGAGAGCTTTATCTCCAGAATTCCTGTCACTGGGATTTTTCCAATTACTTACCTCACACATTTTTAACATGGCCAAATGATTTACACATCTAAATACCAGGTGCAAACACTGAAACAATTATTTCTACTTCTGAATGCATTGTTCATCCTCTGGGCAATGAATTCTTGAGAGATTACATTTTTCAAGAGGGATTATAAAACACTGGGCATCTTTTCACCTTCAATCTACCACTGCATGGAATATTTATCTTTTTTTCTAATTCTAGGACATTCACTCAATCAGTGGATCAGGTACCATAAGGCAAATTCATACATTTTTCTACTTTACACTTTTCATTTTAGTACTGTGAAATGCTATTTTACATGATAATGGATCATGTATCATTTAAAGATCAATATGGAAAATTCAGTTTTAAAAAAACTAAATTCCTCAGGCAGCAAAAACCTGTTCAGAAGTGAACCATTTTTTTATGAACACTATCTAAGACAAAAAGAGGTTTAAAAGAAACAATTTTTAAAGGATTTCTAAACTTGCTTTTTATTGAGTTCAAGACCCAAGTACCCAATAAAAAGCTTTTTCAAGTTGGGGAAACAATGTATTTTTTAAATATTTCTGTCATTTTTTTATGCATTCTGGTATGATCTTTGGGAAACTGGATGCTATTTTCAACCTTTGAACATATTTTTATTGTAGTGGCTTCCAAACTTTAGAGCAAAAGTTGAAATCTCGGCTAAACCAAGTCCTACAATGGCAATAAAATAGATTCTTTTTTTTTTAAATTATGCTAAAACATACTAATAGCCAGTTTCTTCAGAATCTTCAGACCTATTTCCTAACTTATGAGTTGCCTCACTTGTTTCAGTGAGTATATATATACACACTGAAAGGTTAGGTTAATGATAGGAAAGACTGGGTTAAGACAGTACTTGGCATCAGTAATGCTGTCGGACTAGTTTCTTGTGTAGCCATGTTACAGAAGGAGAAAAACACTGCTGCTTACTGTGAAAAAGCACATATTGCCACATATAAATTAGTGTAAATTTTGACCTGTGTTATATCTGTTAAAATCCCTTGAGAAATGGCCATTGGATCTTAAAGAATTATTTATGAAGATCAGAAAAAAACTGCCACTCTACTGTCACAAAACAAGAGGAAAAGACCCCAGAAAAATGCATCTCTTTTTTCAGGATTTGCTAGACCATCTGCTAAGGTAAATTCAGGGTGATGCCACAAAACAAATGAAGCTATGTCATTTTATGCCAGTGAAAGATCTGGCTCATGACCTGCATTATTTCCTGCACAACTGGAAGAACAATTCACTTAAACACCTCTTCCTTACTTTCATTTAAATAATCCCTTGTGCAAGTGTAGGAATGACAATTAACACTAAAGCACCGCCCCAAAACAATTTTATGCTGGATTTCAAAAGGTTTGGTTTTTTTTTTTGGATTGTGGAAATGCTTTGTAGAAGTTACCATAATGGTATATAGACAACTGTGTAAAGAATCAATCCTGCTTTTATCTTCCCAGCACATTTTTCTGAAATACTTACATTCGCCCATCCACCACAACCAGTTTTGGTTTGAGGTACACTGTGATATCCTTGATTTTTACCAGAATATACTGGATTTCAGGGTGGTTATCGCTGTTCAGAGCACGCTGGATGTGGACAGAGAACTCTGCGTAAGAATCGCTGCAGTCAGAAACAAAATTATACTCGCAAACGCCAGGGAATTGGTAGATGTCTCCGTCAAAGGTTTTGAAATGGTCGTTTCCCCAAGTGCTGCAGACATAGTGGCCGTGGTTTCTTGTCCTTCCTGTTAAGTGATGAAAAGAAATAGACATGAAAAAAGTGCAGTAAACAAGCTAATGTAAGAAAATGTAAGTGTTCCACTTTACAGTAGAAATCACTTGCAATTATGTGCACGGTGATTCCACAGATTTCAAGCCTGATCAATTATCTGATCAACACGTACTAGAAAAAAAACCAGTTAGGAAACCAAGAAAGTACCACTATTTACCAAAAGGCAAATAGTTTAAGTATTATGAAAGGACTTGTGCACAACAGGAGATTTAGGAAATTATTTCTTTTCCTAAAAGCAGTAGTGATTTCTATTACTACAGAATAGAAATTCTTCAGAAGATATAACCATGATAGGAAGAAAAATAAAGTTTTTGCAACAGCCAAAACTAAAGATGATTTATTCCCTTCCCAGCCATCTATACTGACTAATAACACAAGTTAACACAATATCTAATAAATCTCCAGGTACTGTAGATTAGGGGTGAATCATAAAAGCTAAGTATCCATGGGAAACTTGACATGTCTCTCATTTTCACAAGATTTTCTTGCACTGTTTACTATGAGGAAGCAAAACTGCTAACACAACCTCTAGGTTTACTGTGCTTTGATGGTATCAATCATGCCAGATACATCCAGACAAGCTGCTATCCTTCTCTCCCCAGATGGAAGGCTGCACAGAGATTCTTCTGGAGCTCACAGCTGGGATACCAAATGCAAGGTAATGCTTTCCTCTCATTGCTGATTTCAGGACACAGCAGACCAAGCTCAATACCCCAAACCTGACCACTGGACAAAATTCATCACCTATTCCACTAAAAAACAATTTTTTGTTTTCAGTGTAAGTGTTTCACTTTAACACCTCAAAGTTGATAACAAATGAAGTTAGAGCTTTTACAGCAGGATTATTAATGTTCTAAATGGCAAAATTAGCTTTGTCCAATGTTACTACATTCCCTTTTGAAGAAAGAATTTATGTTGTTCCAAGTAACAGAAGGCACAGTCATCCACCTCCCTCATTGCTGTAACAATGAACCTCTCAAACTTCTACAGTTGCTTTCTGCAAAGTAGTTGCCAAACCTAGGAAAGACTCAACACATCGAAAGAAAAGTAACATGGAAAATATTTTCCAAGCACATCAAACTAGATATAAACGCAGTAGATATAGGAACTAATGTCTCCAAAGAAAGAAAGCCAACCTATGTTGGCTGAGTCATGCTGCCTCAGTATTTGAAAGCTTAAGAAATTTAAAGCATCCTAAAACTGCATTATTTAAGTGCATTATTTAAATGCACTGCCTCCTTCTACCTCTGCAGTGGTATTTTAATTCTCCCCCTCTTTTCCAGGAGGCAGTCTGCTACTATTTCATTTCTAGAGCTTACCTTTTCTTATTTCATGAGCATAGGAAAGAGCCAGCCAGAGTATGAAAAGGCTGGCCACTCTTAGCCCCATGGTGGCTAAGGTGGGTGACTGGGCAACTCCACTGAAAACTCTTCTTTATATATTATCCACTGATGCAATTGATTCTGTCACAGGGGAGGAGATACAGAGGGAGGAGGAAAGAGGAGGGGTGAAAAAACAGGTGTGATATTTACTGAAGATAAGAAGTAAACAGATGCATTTTTCACCATAAATGAAGGAATTCAGCATACAGGAAATGGTATAATATTGATTCAGTAACCATGCCGGGTTTTATTGCTCTATTTCATCTACAGGATGCTGTGCTTTTAAATCCTTCAAATGCTCACGCCAAGTTTCACCTTCAGTAACTCCTATAGCAAATAATGAATTTTGGAGTGGCTGAACAAAGAAATCCCTTGACGAAATTTTAGGGTGAGACCCTCAAACAGTGGCTTCAAAACCAAGGAATTTTTCATTTTCCACCATCACATAGAATGATTTCTGTAAAAATTAAATCATTCATTTGAAGCTCCTTGTAGTTAACGGTAACCCTTACAAATAAAAATGGTACATCATACATCGTAAAATTATTCTGCTGGCAATTGTTTGATTTCTTTAATTTGTAAAGCTCTGGGGAACATCTAAACCAAAATACAGCCCATACTGTATATTGTGCCCAAGAGACAACTGAGATGGGGTAGCAAGGTAAGTTCGAAGAATTCACAGTAAAAGAGGTCCTCTTTCAAACATTGTCAAGGTGCAACAGAAAGTTCATCAAAAAGATTGCAGAGACTCTCCCATCATATTAAGCTTTAGGGAAAAAAGAAGGGGGAAAAAAAAAAAAGGAAAAATGGGAAAAGATTACTGTCCATAATCCCCCTAAATATTCTTGCTCATTCTTGCTTACCTTCTCCATGAATGATAAATTTATAGTCTGTTGCCCTACATCAGATCCAATAAAAGTTATAGGGTCAGCTTTGCTTTGTGCAGAAAAAGATGAAGAGGGTCCTTGGGAGAAGAAGAAAGCAGAAAACAGAACCAGGAACCAGGTCAGAATGCTGTTTCAGAAATACAAGATTTCCATATGCACCTTATTTTGTGCTGAAAAGTTCCTTTGAGAAGGTGTTTCTGCAACTCTCTTCAGAAGACAAAATACAGGCCCTTTGAGGTAAAGTACACTTACCTCAACAGATCTTCTAACACATCTGCTTTAATAAGGTTTACTTCTTAAAGCTCCTATATTTCCTCATCAAAAGATTTTCAACACAGTGTCTAGAAATCTCTAATCCTCTTAATCAAGTGTTCCTTAATTTCAGTGCTCATATTACCAGTAGAGCTTTTATATTTTTCAAAACACCAAGGAAACATTTTACTTAGCTGTTCTGACTGCTCTAGTAAACAAGAAACATCCTTTTATCATAAAAGTATGTTCTGTAGCTCTGTTTTCTTTTATTTAATAATTTTATCTCAACTATAGCCTAGCCTCTACACAAACATCTTCCTGTTTTCCTTTAATACATGTCAAAAGGTTTTAGACTTTCTGCTCCTGCTTGAAAATACAGATTTGCACTTCTCTCACCCTTACATAGGGTATCATTCACTCAACAATCCTGACTGAAATTAATTACTAGCCCTTTTCTCCTTTATGAGCCTATTCACTACTAGAATATAATTTTATTTTCCTTCTTGAAAAATAAAAATAAACCCAGTAATAACCAGTTAGAAAAAATCATTTAGAAAAAAAAAAAAAAGAAACACTGTCTTCAGAGACGTTTCCCTGATGGTTACTTCAGCAGATCTAACTTCTTATGACACTTCAGAGACATATCCCAACCTGGAATTTTCTGTCTTTTCTGCTACCAAAACTCTTAGTTCAGAAACATGATTCGCAAGGGGTTTGAGATTTTCTTTTCCTCCTTGTGTTTTTCTAGCTAGTCTCCTGGCTGGATCTACCATTGCCTCAGAAAAAAAAAGTCTCCATGATTTAATTCATACACAGTCTTTGCAAACTGTAACAGCAATTCATGTACACAGCAAACCTGACCCCTTTTTAGATTAAATTGGATGTGTATGTTCAGAGGTGTAAGTTGGAAAGTTGCATATTTTCCATTCAGCTTTCTTTGCCACAAAAGTTCTAGATCTGGAACCAGTCTCATTCATTTGCTGGGACTGGGAAAGGTAATCATCCTTCACCTAAGGTTGCACCATCCCTCAGTTCCATATGCTGGCATTTTTCTTCTGTGCAGGTGAAGAGCTACTCTTGGCCAAGCACCTCTAAATTTTGGTGACTGATTTTCTCTGCCCCACCTTTGTCCTGGCTGCACAGGGAGCCTGATTACTTCTTGAGATATGAAATTAAAACAGGACTATTTTCCTTCTCCAGTCTTTGCTTCTCAGAGTGACCAACAACTTCTCATTATTTCTTCCTCTGACATGTATGTGACTTCCTGTGACATTCCAAACTGGAGAATGATCAACATGCTTTTAAGCACTGAGACCACTCTTACAGAATCCGCACTCAAGCTTACACAGCTGCGATGATCTGAACAGAAGCAAATACAGATCCTTATCTTCAAAATTCCTAGGTATGTACTTCTGCTAGCATTAGAAAATGTCCTAAACTGCACTGTCTCTGTTTCCTTATTGCCAGAAGGGTAATGATCCTGTCTACCAGCTGCTTTATATGCCTGTCAGAAATAATCAATCTTTGAGGTAGACATCATAGCCTGTTTTATTTCTTGCTCAGCTACCTTACAGCTTTTTGGGTTATGCATTTTAATCCAAAAGAATCCTACTGTTAATGTACAGATAACACACACATGTATGCATTAATTTATTTACTATAAATTGTTTGACAGCCTGAAGTAATCAATCATTTTGCAACAAAGCTAATTCTGCTTTAGCATTAGCATCTTTGTCTTAAGCTTACATCAGTTATCTATATCTGAGTCGACCTGTCTGTGGAACTTCATGCCACTCCTTGCTTCCAGTCATCTCGTCTCCAGTATCAGGTGTTCATGTGCCTTTATTGCCAATGATTCTCCCTGCTGCCACTGTGCAAGCAGCATCAACAGAACAATTGATGAGAAGGAGTATTTTCATATTTAGGTTCCACAGTTGGGTACTAGCAGAGATGTGGTTTTTTTGAAGTTCCCCAAGTCCATGAACAGAAATACAGCTTCCCATAATCTTTCACTATATGCCTGACCCAGGAACCCCAAAACCAGTGCTATGACAGTCATTGCTAAAATTCAAAGCTTAAGAAATAAAAGCTGATTGCATGGCAGGCATGTTTGTTGTAGCAGCAGATGCAGAAGGACAGATAAAAAATATGATTTGAGTCATAGCTGTGTCAATGCACTGTCTCCCTACACTCAAACTTTTATGAGACTATTTTTAATCATTCCATCAGTGTAACTAACTTTTAACATTCATTTAGTTACAGTGTAAATTTACTTTGCAGTAAAACTTCTTGTTAAAAACACAATCTGCGTGGAAGATTATCTTCATTCTGAATCACACTGCAGAAGAAAATGGCCTATATGAAAAAATTATATAACTTCATGATAAAATTTAGCAGAGACCTGGCTGGGCTTATTTAGGAAAAATAAATAATTTTTCAAGAATGTGGGGTCTATTTCTATCTGTGAACAGCAAGAGGAAATCTCATTGCAGTCTTGTCACAGCAATCCCAGGATGACCACTATACTATATGCACCTCAGAAAGTGCAATTACACCTGGTGACTGAGTTTTTTCCTTATCCTTTTGTATTCCTGACTTGCTGATCACAGGCTGTCAAACCAATAAGTAATATTCTATCGGTGATGTTGCTCTGCAGAAATAGCCATGGGATTTTGTTCTACTACTCTTCCATCTGCCAGCATTTCACCAGAGCACACAAAGCTTTACACATGACCACACAACTTCACAATATACACATCACTCCTTTTGTCTCAAGCACAGAGATGGTTTGTCTGAACTGCCTTGGCACCATTCTAAAATAGATCTGGCAAAATCTAGCCAGATTATGAATTAAGAGATGTATGATGATACACAACCACAGCACTTCCTTTACCAAGACTCCAGTAAGCCCTCTATAAAGTCAAAAACTTAAGAAAGCACAGAGATAAGCAGCAGGAGGGTGAACAGTGCATGAAAGAGTGTTAAAGCAATGAAACAGAAGTAAGGGGTATGAATTTAATTTTGATATGCATGCTGTCAACATATTAACCTAAAATTATCACTACAGAAGGAGACAGTAATTAGACAGACATAAAACTGGTATAAAATTACTGAAATTATTAATTTATGATTTTTGTGTTATTAAAGAATTAGAAACAAGTGGCAAAAAGCATCCCTATAATGAATTTATTGCTCTCCCAAACCTTCTAATGGGGTGTCACTACCAACTAGTTTTATGGAAAGAACTTTAATACACAGAATGTCCATTTAAATGTATTCAACAGTCAAGCTTTTATTTAACGTAATGTTACAAAATCCCACATACTTTTGATTGCTTCTAGGTCACTTCTGGAATCAGGCTAATATCATGTAATTAATTATCCTATCATTTTACCCTAAGGTACTGATTTTCCAATTGGACTAATCTCAGCTCTACCACTAATTTCATCCCTGTGATCTTGAGCAGTCTTTGGGTTATTGGCATTATTTTTCATTCAAACAAATACAATAGTGTAAGGTATCTGCTGATGCTGTCTGGAGTATAACATTCTCACACGGCCTTCCTTAAGTGGTTTGGCATGGAAATTTTAAGATTAGCATCCATGTTCCATTCCTAGTACTTCCTTTGGAATTTGGTAGCTCATACTCTGAGACTAAAGTTGAAAAACATTTCCTTCTCTTCCAGTTAAGTACAAATGGGGATAAACATGTGACATACAATTAGTGAAGATTAGGAAGGGGTGTAGTAAGTAATAAGTTCAATTAGTAAGCTTTCCTACTAACACAGCTTCTATAAAAGTTATGTCTGCAAAAAGACTCAGAACAACAGCTTCTACATTAATACACAAGGAAAAATACTTGATGATTC